AAAAAAGTTAATGTCGAGCCCTGTCCATTGCAAAACTTAAAATAAATACATTATAGAAATAGTACTTACCCCCTAGTACACTTGGAGCGAATGCACTGGGGTAATGTGGTACTCTCTATATAAAATGTACTTACACCGAGTGGAGTTGTACTGGGGTAATGTGATACTCTCTATAGTAAATGTACTTACACTGAGCGCGGTTGCTCTGAGGTAATGTGATACTGTCTATATAAAATGTACTTACAATGAGTGCGGTTGCTCTGAGGTAATGTGATACTCTCTATAGTAAATGTACTTACACTGAGTGCGGTTGCTCTGAGGTAATGTGGCACTCTCTATAGTAAATGTTCTTACACTGAGCGCGGTTGCTCTGAGGTAATGTGGCACTCTCTATAGTAAATGTACTTACACTGAGTGCGGTTGCTCTGAGGTAATGTGGTACTCTCTATAGTAAATGTACTTACACTGAGAGCGGTTGCTCTGAGGTAATGTGATACTCTCTATAGTAAATGTACTTACACTGAGCGCGGTTGCTCTGAGGTAATGTGGTACTCTCTATAGTAAATGTACTTACACTGAGAGCGGTTGCTCTGAGGTAATGTGACACTCTCTAGTAAATGTACTTAACTGAGCGCAGTTGCTCTGAGGTAATGTGGTACTCTCTATAGTAAATGTACTTACACTGAGCGCGTTGCACTTTTAATGTGGTACTCTCTTTAGTAAATGTACTTACACTGAGAGCGGTTGCTCTGAGGTAATGTGATACTCTCTATAGTAAATGTACTTACACTGAGTGCAGTTGCTCTGAGGTAATATGGTACTCTCTATAGTAAATGTACTTACACTGAGCACGGTTGCTCTGAGGTAATGTGGAACTCTCTACAGTATATGTGCTTACACTGAGCGCAGTTGCTCTGAGGTAATGTGCTACTATCTATTACTAGTAAATGTACTAACACTGAGCGCCGTTGCTCTGAGGTAATGTGATACTCCTAGTTGGTATGGAGACTCGTATCTAGATCCAGCTTTCAGGAAGAAGGACACCTGTCCTATAGAAGAATTGGTGTTGATGTTGTCAATTGTGGTCACGCTAATGTTATTTCCCAAAGTTGTCAGCTGTGCAAAGGATATATAATACAGTGCATACCAGTTTTGCATAAATGAGCTTATGGTCAATTTTGCTACAGTTGTTTGAAATCTACACCAAAAATGTAAAATCTGGTTACTAAAATTAAAAGTTCTTGACATTATTTTGAGAATAAAGAAAGTAATAATGAACTTTGCACTTACTTTTGAGTTTTCTGTGCGTGCAAGTGGTGCCAATGTTCCATAATGCCTTCCCTGAAAATATTAGACATCCTTATATTTAAACCCATCATATTCGACTGAAATATCGTTATCATTCCTGTTCATGAAAAATTCTCCTCATCTAAGGACCTGCATAGGCGGAATGTCTGAATTAAAGTACTGATGAAAGTTAACGCTTGCCATGATTTGCTTCAGTCATTTCTCATGGTAACAAGTCTTTTTCCCATAATGTAACATTTATATGATAATTTACATCAATTTCTTGTCCTAAAATTCCAAACATAGTTGCAAATAAACAGGTCTTATTTGTAATATAGTTTAAAAACATTATTGTAAATAGCAGAGGAAATCCGAACTATATAGAAAATACACATTCAGTTCCACAACAAAAGCCAGCTTCGGATTTCTAACACTTATTTAACATATATCACTAAGTTTACAACTAATTTAACCTTTTGAATTTCTGATTATACAAAATTTTTCGTCTCTGATTCAGTGAAGGTCGGAAAGGGCAATAACCCTTATCTAACAACCTAATAAAACCACATTCACTTTTATTTTCTTTGCATTTCTACGTCAATATGAAAGAACAATCATACCCTTAAATATCGGACAGCTGATCTACTTATATTCAATGCCATGATGTTTCCTAAAGCGATGTATCCCGACCAGCCGACCGGTCAAGACATCAAGATTGAAAGGAAGTCCAACTGTATTTCGTTCGTCGAACCCGATGTCTAAAGCTGGAAATTAAATCAAAGCACTGAAAGTACTGGAATGCACTAGAGGTGAAAAACGATAAAAAGAAAACACGCAAAATCAAACACGCAAAATCAAAAGTTCTTTTTTTAAGACGACCTCTTATTAGAACAACCTGCATATACTATTCCAGGGGCGGATCCTGCAATTTTTGAAGGGGGGGTCCAGGGTTATGCCCCTCTAACCCCCCCTCCCCCCAACACATTTTCTCAAGCAAAGATTCACAGACGTGTATGGAAAGATCTAAGGTTGTGGTAAATACTATCTTTGTTTTATGTCCTTTAAAAAAAGCGTACCCCTATTCCGAACAAAAAACAAAACAAAAACAAAAAACAAAAAAAAAAAACAACAATAACAACAAAAATCAAAAACTACAGAAGCCTTAAAATTGAATGGATTCGTATCACTACCGAAGATTATAAAGAATTTTCTTTAAGAATTTGAAAAACCTTTTCGGGGTAACTTTTGGGCCATGAAAACAAAGAGTTACATATTATAGTTCAATTGATCAAGATACATAAAAACGTTCTTTCATATATAGAACACAGCAAAGATCGGCAATGATATCAAATTAAACCTTGACTGTGACATATCATAAAAAAGATATATAAAAATAAGTAGAATATTTTCTACCATTCTCTCATAAAAAATATAATAGAGGAGGTGATTGGGGGAAACTATTACTAAATGTGTGAGAATCAATCTATTCGATCAATAAATAAGACGTACAAACATATAATCTCGGAAAACGTTTTATCCTCTCTCTCTCTCTCTCTCTCTCTCTCCACTTGGCAAAAAATAAAGGGGGGGGGGTTTCAACCCCCGGAACCCTCCTCTAGATCCGCCAATGTATTCGCTTTGCCTTCAAACAGAAATATTTATAAGTCATTAACAAAGAGAAAAGGCATAGTAAAAATGGGTGACACCACATAAAAAATATATAACTAAGGTGTATATGTGAAGTACTATCACATGTAAAAAAAATATTTTAAAAACGTAACAAAGCATACTTATAATTGGAGTAATGACCCTTCATTCCTTATCAAAAAAAAAACTTCCAAGTGAACACTCTTTTTAATAAAGAGCTAAATGGCAAATATTTAATACAAAAATATTTAATTTTAAGGGTTCTTAGAAATGATTTTTATGTCAAACCATGATATGAAGAAATGTTAACACAGAGAAAAGGCATAGTAAAAATCTATTGACACCACATAAAAAATATATAACTAAGGTGTATATGAAAAGTATATTGGTGTCTTACCAAAAAAATCCATTTTAAAAACGAAACAAAGCAGTCCTTATTGGGCGACGAAACAAAATTACACAACATAATTTGTTATACAGAATATGACTGGGCGAATTTAAAACGGAGCAAAATTATTTGCAAGTGCAAAAGGTCGAAAATAACACGGGGCGAAAATAACCCTGTATACAGTATATAGATAAAAGGAAATAGATGTTATTTTTCCATCATATGTCAAATTTGATTGAGTTGGCTCCTTAAAGGTCTCAATACTCAAAGTTGACAAATGTTTGTCAAGTTTGTTAATTAATAGTGGATCCTCTCACCATGTAACAAAAGAAAAAAAAAACTTTCTGCACACTCGAAAGACAAACTGTCAAAATAATAAGAGATGTCCCGGTATAATGGAAATCTGAAGATATACTTCAGTAATATGGAGAAATGATCATTTTTACCCTCTTTGTAGTTTGTTAGCTACATGTACCATATCATATAAAGTGATTTCAACACTCATGAGATTGTGGAATATTTGTGGAGATTTTACATAGGATAAGATAATATCTATTTAAAGTCGGGTACATCAACTATACATAAATAAAATATTTGATGAAAAGGGCGATTATGATATAATTTAACAAAAGAATTTTATGATAGATGACAATACGTAATTTTATTTTTAAATTCAACATTGACTTCCTTTATTTGTAGAAACATACCCTTATCCTATGTATATGGATATATCATCTACCTGTTGATTCAATACGTAAACAGATGTCCTATGTAAGAAAAAATTTTAAATCGAAGGAAACAAGTTTATGAAACAAGAATATCAACATTCTCGTTTAAAGGCATCATTTTGAAAGTTCTATATAGTTGACACAACGACCTTGTCAGTAATTTTATAATACGATCTACTATAAGTCAAATTCAGACTGACAGTGTTATGTCATTTTTTACACTGAATTGTTAACAGTTTTATTCGATCATGACAAGAAGCACAGTGGGTGTGAACGATCGACAGGGAATGCTTACTACTCCAAGGCACCTGATCCCATCTCTGATGTTCTGGGAGGGTTGTATTTGCTAGATGCTCCTGATTTGTACTGTTTTAATGGACTTTTGAGCTTGAATACTTTTCGTTGTACTCCATATTTCATACTCCTAGAACGTAACTTGCAATTGAAATGTCAGATTTATATTTTGAAGAGGACTCAAGGGGCTCTTTCTATTTTTTTTTTAAATCAACTTAAATTTAAAGTATTCAAAAGAAAGCAAGGAAAGATAAAAAAAAAACATTAAAAACGCTGAAAATTTTGAATGGTTGAGGAGAAGACCAAGATATATAAATTTTCATTTAGGCTGGAGAAATTTTAGTACATGTCGGCCTTGTTCTTTTGTATTCGTACAACGAAATAGCTGTTGTTGCTGAATTCGGCCAAATTCTCCCGAAAAGTTGTTATTTTTATGATGTGAATTGTAATGCTATGAGATATTTAGGGAAAAAATAATTGTATAATTTGAATTAGTTATAATGTTTTCATGGATACATGTCCGAAAGTAGGCAAGACAAGAGCGTACACTTGAAGTAAAATTCCTAGTTTTATTTTTTGGTCGAGGTTTTAATACACAACGATTTCCATACGAGGAAGCAATCTATTTTATTCAAGTTAAACATGACAAGAGGAAATAAAACATTCTCTGAGTATAAAGGAAATGTGCACTGTTATTTGAAATACATACATATGTTTACGTGATTTTCAAGAACTGTAACAAATATTAATGGAGAGAACTTATAATTTGTATATTTTTTATCATTGCACTGGTATGAGTCTCTTTTGCTTTTGGGTTGTTTGTGTTATAAATTTTAGTTCTTCACAAAAACCTCAGGGACAATGCCCAAGCCATGGGTATGTATTTTTGTACGTAATTATTGTATTAATTCATAAAAATAGAATTGATAAGAAACATCATTTGCTTTTCAAAAAGCAGCTGTTTATGCACTTGTTACAGTTCTATATTTTTAAAAAGTATATCTTTGATCTGCCTATTTTTTTCCATTACAGAGATCCTACAACGCTGTCATGTTGTCTGAACTACCTTAACATAGGCGGCGAATGCATAGGTAATGGTTTCTTATCATAAAGAACTAAACACAGGCGGCGAATGCATAGGTAATGGTTTCTTATCATAAAGAACTAAACATTAGGCGGCGAATGCATAGGTAATGGTTTCTTATCATAAAGAACTAAACATTAGGCGGCGAATGCATAGGTAATGGTTTCTTATCAAGAACTAAACATAGGCGGTGAATATATAGGTAATGGTTTCTTATCAAGAACTAAACATAGGCGGTGAATGCATAGGTAATGGTTTCTTATCAAGAACTAAACATAGGCGATGAATGCATAGGTAATGGTTTCTTATCAAGAACTAAACATAGGCGGTGAATGCATAGGTAATGGTTTCTTATTATAAAGAACTAAACATAGGCGGTGAATGCATAGGTAATGGTTTCTTATTATAAAGAACTAAACATAGGCGGTGAATATATAGGTAATGGTTTCTTATCAAGAACTAAACATAGGCGGTGAATATATAGGTAATGGTTTCTTATCATAAAGAACTAAACACAGGCGGCGAATGCATAGGTAGTGGTTTCTTATCATAAAGAACTAAACATTAGGCGGCGAATGCATAGGTAATGGTTTCTTATTATAAAGAACTAAACATAGGCAGTGTATAGGTTGTGGTTTCTTATCATAAAGAACTAAACATGGATGATACATGTAAATATATAGGTAATGGTCTCAAATCATAAGGAACTAACTAAACATAAGCTTTGAATCACAGGCACCTGACGTTACTTACTTTTCTCTTAATCAAATAATATACCCCCTTCCTAATAGTACTATTAGGTAGGGGTATATTTTTTTATTAAAAGAAAAAAATCAGGTGCCTGTGCGTTGAATGTATAGGTAACGATCTTCTATCAAGTTAAGCAAAATGGAGGTAAATGTATAGGTAATGGTTTATAGGACATGAAATATATGGAGATAAAAACAATATTCATTCAAGCTTAAATCAGAGGTGGGATCAGGTGCCATGGAGGAGTGAGTCCCTGCTAATATGTCACAGTGTGCTCCTTGTCATGATCAGGATATAAAGGAAAAAACCGTCGATAACCAGTGTGTAAATAAATGGATTTAAAATGAATACGAAAAACGCAAGGTACCATCTGACTTACTGATAAATGCCATCATTAACTCGACATTTATATATATCGACGACGTATTGTCAATTAACGATAGTAATTTCCATTCTTATGTCGATACGATATATCCTGGTGAGCTTGAGATAAAAGATACCACAGAGTCTGACACATCTGTTTCATATTTGGATATTTTACTTGAAAAAGACGTTAATTAATGGTAATCTAACAACCATGCTCTATGATAAATGTGATGATTTTAACTTTTCTATCGTCAACTTCCCTTACTTATGCAACAAGCCCTTAGTTATGCAGCATTATACCTTCATCACCTGCATACAGAGTTTATGCATCTCAGTTGATTAGATAGGCAAGAGCATGTTCTATGTATGAATAATTTCTAAAAAGAGGTAAATTATTGACAAACAAGTTGATGAAACAAGAATATCAGCAGTGTCGTTTAAAGTCATCATTTCGTAAGTTCTATGGTCGATTCAAAGACCTTGTCATTCAGCAAATACGATTTATCACTGAGTCAAAAGCTGACTGACGTTTTTCAAACTAATTGTTAGTCCATTATTTATACACTGAATTGACGACAGATTTTTTCGTTATTTTCCCATCATGACAAGGAGCACACGGCGGGTGTGGCCGATCGGCAGGAATGCTCACTCCTCCATGGCACCTGATCCCACCTCTGATGTTTTTGAGGTCCATGTTGCTCTGCTCCTATTTTGTGTTTTATGGACCTTTGATCTTGAATACTGTTCGTTGTCTCCATATGTTCCATTGTTTATTATAGTTTATTATATTGACAGTGCGAAATGGTGAATGTAATATTTTTTCTCTCATCAACTTGTTTGACTCATTTAGAATTTTTCTAGAGCATGCTCTTGTGTATATCGAATCATATGGAGATATAAAGCTCATTCACAGCTGATAAAGGCATATTGCTACAAAAAGGAGGGAAAATAACGATAGAAAAATTATCGTCATCACGTTCTTCAAAAATATTTTGTTGTAAAGGAATCAAGTAACGTTTTTCTTCTTAAGAAACTCGAGGAAGTTTTCATCACAGGCACCCGACGTTACTTAAACCCCTACCTAATAATAAACGTTTATTATTAGGTAGGGGTATATTTTTTATTAAAAGAAAAATAAGTAATGTCAGGTGCCTGTGCTTTTTATATACTAGTAAACATTGGAGTACTTGTGTATACAATCAGAACAAATTAAGTTATGATTATATTGCAAATGATCAATGACAAGGTCAGTCAAGATTTCTTTCATGTTAAAGCTCATAGAAAACTATATATACAACATGGCGTTAATATGACTTTATTACTATAGCCTGTCAGTCCGGGACTATGGGAATCAACTGCTCCAGAATCTGCCCTGATGGCTTTTATGGTCAGTTTTGTCTGAAGAAGTGTAACTGTGACCCCACACAGCGCTGCAGTAAGGCCAGAGGATGTGTGTGTAAGGGAGATAACTGCCCCAGTGGTATGTCGTCCAAAGTACATTATGTATCTACGGAGTAAAATGAGTTCAGGAAATGAAAAACTCAAGTACTAGTATTTTAAAATTAGTATTAATTAACATTTATTGCTGAGTAGGAAATATTAATAATTGATTGGTCTAATAATTATTCCTCGAGTGTAAAAACATATTTCAACTGTGGAAAGAATAAGTGCGTTATGTTTAACCGGAAATGCATCGAAAACTTCTTTTTTAAAAATAAAACAGTAAACATAACATCTGTACAATAATTCCGTTCTCATATACTTTGTTTGATATATTTTTGAATCAAGAAAGTATTCTTTTTAAAAAATACACAAGGTCTTATAAAATTTAACTGCCTTCCTTCTCCCTATTAAAAAATAATGAAAGAAATCTTTTTAAGGTGTGTTTTATATCATCATTTGTTTGTCTTCACAGAGCTCGATTTATTCAATGAATCTAGCCAAGTTCAGTGCAAATCAAACGAAGGTAAGCGTCGTATATTTCTTTCATACATATCTTACTTGTGTACGCCTAATATAATTCATATTATATTGTTATATATTATTTTGCGTATATTTACTGCTCCTTTAATTTTTATGAGATTTTTCCTTGCTTTATTTACAGTTATTTAATTGATAGGCCTTTCATTGGTTTCTTTAATTGTTACGGAGCTTTTCATTGGTTTATTTACAGCTGCTTTGATTGTTATGGGGCTCCTGATTGGTTTCCTTCTCATTTTTATAATACCAGTAACAGTACAGTTCTACAGACTAAAGCGCAAACGGTAACAAAACCTTAAATAATTAGTATTTCAAGTGGTTAACATTTTGTCTACTAGTTTAACTTTTACTTATAATCTATGTACGTTTGATTTTTAATTTCAATACAGCAGCACGAAAAGGCCACTACATGCTTATATGGATACAGATTTAAAAATGGAAAATAAAACATTACATTCTTACGAAGCTATGAAGAGAAACGACCTGAAAGTGACAAACGAGGATGAAATGGAACATTATATAGAGCCAAAGGTCATGACAGAAACACGTGACGAGCACTATTTAGAGCCTGTGACTTCTGGACCTCAAAGAAAGAATGCGGAAAACAAACAAACTGGGATTTATAATACAAATTATTCCAAATTAAACGAAGCAGACATTATGAGTAAAATGCCACATAAATTCAATTCTGTGCAACCAAAAACCATAAAATCGTCATCACCAACCAAGAAATATGAACAGTCTTACCTGGTCATGACGAGTAAACCAAGACAAACCTACCTAGAGGTCATAGGTACCGATCAACCGAAACTACAGTCTAAACACATTACATCGGACTACGTCCACGCCGACCCACCGAGCCAGGAAGAATTGTACGAATAAAGACAAGTCTTACAATGCCAAATGAAAAAAAAAACTGAAGATAACGAACAGTATTCCATTATACAAAACCTTCAATGAAATATAACGAGATAACGAACAGTATTACAGCTAAAACGTCCTTGAAACAATTATAAAAAAATGGAGAAAAGCAAACACGGACCTCCAAAATATCTGAGATGGGATCAGATGCAATGGAAGAGTGAACTTTCCCTGCCGACCGGTCACACACGACTTGCTCCTTGTCATGAACGGAAAATAACGGAAAATTCCGTCGACAATCCAGTGTGTATAATGGCCTAACAATTATTGTGAAAAACGTCAGTCAGCATTTGACTTAATGATAAACTGTATTTGCTGACAAGGTTCATTTATCGACCATAGAACTTACGAAATTATGATTTTAAACGAGACTGCTGAATGCAGATATTCTTGTTACAGAAACTTGTTTGCAAATAATTTATCTCGTTTTAAAAACGGTTCATACATATACGTAGATCATGCTCTTGCGTATCGAATCAACTGAGATATATAAACTCCGTGTGCAGATGATGAAGGTATATTGCTGCATAAGTAAGGGAAGTTGACGATTGAAAAGGCAAAGTCATCATGTTTATCGTAAAGCTTGGTTGTTAGATTAGCATTTACGTCTTTTTCAAGTAAAATATCAAAATATGAAACAAATGTGTCAGACCCTGTGGTATCTTTTATCTCAAGTTCACCAGGATATATCTTATCGACATAAGAATGGAAATACGCCGTGGATATAGATAAATGTCGAGTTGAACGCCACTGCAAACGTTTTCTTCTTTTCACATATAAGAAATTTGGACAAATTCTGCTTTGTATGAATACAAAAATAGATTTTCTAAGGGCGCAGTTGATACCTTTAAAACAAATCTCTGAAAGGAGCATAAAATGAAAGTGCCAGAAAATCAAGAGGTAGGATCCAGTGTATAGGAGGAGTGAGTATCCCCGCCGTGAGTCTTAGGAAGACCTGGCATTCCATAGACAAACTGAGCACGAAACAAAAGCATGACAATTAATTTGCAACACGTGCGGGACTAAACACCATATGCAGCATATGCAGGTGATAGGGAGATTTAATCGAAAAAGGAAGTTACTTCCCAAATAAAATAAATAATGCAAAGTACCCACAGACTTATTGACTTAACTTCTTGTATTTTCATTACAGCACCATCAACTGTAGAACTTATCTATATTTTGAAGTCTTAGTTGCAGTTTCTTGTAAATAGTGGTCTCTTCCTATTCACAAACGAGCTCTAATATTGAAAATGACGGTACATTATCAATCTATACCAATCAAATTTCAAAGACATCCTATTTATTGAAATAGTTAAATATTATATTCTCCAAGGGGTTATGAGCAATTTTAAATCTAATTGTCTTCTAAAAGGGGTAATTTGAAAAGCTTTTATGTCTTATTGAAAACATCGTTTACAAATACCGTTCAAAAAATAAAATGTGTTGATACAACATAATAAAAAGTTTCATGTGTAAAATGCAAAGTTCCATGTCGATAATAAAAGGAGTTGAATAAACAACAATTATGCGAGCAGTTTAAATACACCGTCTTCTTCATATCATGCAGTGTGGTACCAGTCCACAATGAGCATCTGGTAATGTTCTATAACGTGATGTTCCTCCAAATCTAGCAGCCAAGTAGTAAATTCTGGCGAAGGTCAAACAACTAGACATGTCCACTGAGCCTCGTCCCAGACAGATTCCTAGCATGTTATTATGGAACCTAATGTCACAGTTTTCTCGGGAGACGAGGTAGAGTGGATAGGATCCCTGGAAATAAAAAACAAGAATTTTTAAGTCAAGGTCAAAAGGTCAAAATTATTTGTAACTTAACGTTTGTTATTATACTCCTCGCTTGAAAAGTGGGAGTGTATATGGTAGTCGTTATGTCCGTCCATCCGTCCGTCTGGCTGTCCAACCCACAGGCCTTTAGATCGCTTAGAAAAAAATTGAGATGTTGTTAAAAAAAATAAAGGTATGGAACTCTTTTCATGGGGTACCGACTTTCGTCAATAAAATTCTTTTATATCAAATGCTTTACAATTTTACTTTCTTTCAATATCTATTCAAATATAAACAATCTTCATAACTACCAAAGTTCATTCCGTAATTCCTTATACTTCTCGAGATATTCTGAAATCAATTCCCAAATTGACCTTAATTTTTTTACTCGACATCAGCTTGGGCCTTCACTAATTGTAAAGCGGGAACGACGGGACAAATTTTCCCCGGAATTTATTCTAAACTCAATGAATATTTGCTCATTTGCATTCGAGCTTTCCAAGGTTTTTCTTTAATTTAATCATATGGTGTAACTAAGTCACAAACAACATTTTAGCGGTCTAATTGTTTTGAAAATCGAAAGGTATATAATGCATTCCGGGAAAAAATCGTTCTACCATGGCTTCATTATACCCCCCGCTTGAAAAGCGGGAGGGTATATAGTAATCGTTAATTCCGTCCGTCTGTACGTCCGTCCGTCCGTCCGTCTGTCTGTCCGTCCGTCCGTCTGTTACGCTTTGGGGTACCCATCTCTTATCCGCAACTCCTCTCATACCACTGAATGAAATTTTATGAAACTTTCACAGAATCTTTATTTCATATTGCCATTGTGCACCTCCTATTTTACTTTTTGATCCGGCACATATTTTGGGTTTCCCGGCCACAGGAAAACATGGACTTTTTCACCAGTTAAAACCATATGGGAGGCGGGGGGTATAATTTAGTGAGCTCATCGCTCACAGTACCTCTAGTTTACATTCATAATCAACATGGCGGTAGTTGTTGATGTAGACGTTTTCAAATTAATTTTTCGCGAAAGAAATATTATTAGGGACTTAACGTTACAATCTGGAGTAAGAAATTAACTTTAAATTGTTGAAAGATTTTGCAAATACTATGCAACTCTTCGCCGCACTTCAGACACCGTCTGTTTACATGTGAATGACCAGGGGCCCAAGCTAATGTCGAGTAAAAGAAAGTAGGTCATTTTTGAAATTGATTTCAGAATATCTCAAGAAATATATGGAATTTCGGAATGAGCTTAATTTGATAGAAATGAAGACTTTTTATCTATGAATAGATTTAAATAGAAATTAAAATTTTAGAGCATTTGATTAAAAAATATTTTGTTAGTGAAATTGGGTACCCAGTGTAAGAGTTCAGTACCTTTATTTTTTTTTTACACACACAATTTTTTTTAAGCGATCCAAAGGCCTGTGGTCCAACCGTACGTCCGTCTGTTACGCTTTGGAATACCCATCCCTTATCTGCAACTCCTCTCATACCAATGAATGAAATTTGATGAAACTTTCACAGAATCTTTATTATATATTGCCATTGTGCACCTCCTATTTTACTTTTTGATCCGACACACATTTTGGATTTCCCATATAGCAAAACATGGATACTACCATAATATTCATGTGGGAGGCGGGAGTATCATTAAGTGAGCTCATTGCTCACAGTAACTCTAGTTATACCCCCCGCTTGAAAAGCGGGAGGGTATATAGTAATCGTTAATTCTGTCCGTCTGTACGTCCGTCCGTCCGTCCGTCCGTCTGTTACGCTTTGGGGTACCCTTCTCTTATCCGCAACTCCTCTCATACCAATGAAGGAAATTTAATGAAACTTTCACAGAATCTTTATTACATATTGCCATTGTGCACCTCCTATTTTACTTTTTGATCTGACATATATTTTGAATTTTCCAGAGCAAAACATGGATACTGCCATTATATTCATATGGGAGGCGGGGGGTATTATTTAGTGAGCTCATTGCTCACAGTACCTCTAGTTTTTTGTAAAAGTTGGTCAAACATCTAGCTTTACCTTGTTTTTTCTTACTTTTAGTTACTTAAGGTTTGTTATTTTTTTTCTGTAAAAATGGGTCAAACATCAAGGTTTACCTTACCTTTCCGTTACAAAAATAGATCATAACTTTTGAAGTTTGAAGAAGTTAAATTTGAAAGTCTTTCTCAAGGAATACACCGTGAGATATGAAAGCCATAGCCCACCAACTCAAAAGATAGGAGCAAGGTTCAATTTTTTACGGACAAACAGACAGATAGGACAAAAACTATATACATGTACCACCAAATCTTTGATTACGGGGATATAAAAATCTACAAGCAATACAAATAAGTGAACAGAGAATAAAATATCCCCGGCAATTCCACAGGTGGGATCATGTGCCTGACAATTTTTAAATAAACTTGCTAGCTGAAAGAGGCGATTTTTAAAAAAAAAATTTCATGTCTTATTGAAGACCATTTTAAAAATTTCGTCCTTTTTTGAAGATTATCTATAAAATATGTTGATATTCGCAGAAAAGTTTCAAATATTTCTAAAATACAGATCTATGTCGGAAGTAAAAGGGGCTAAATAAAGTACAATTATGCAAGAAGTGAATTAACCTGTCTCTTTCATGCTATGCAGTTTGCAGTGTGCTACCTGTCAACAAAAGTCTTCTGGTGTTTTATGTAAAAAAAAAAAAAAAGGACATAACTTAACAGATTTTCTAATTCTTAAAAAGAAATCTAAAAGATTTCATATTGCTTTAAATTCTATGACAAATTGCTACATGTAAATGACAATTGTCTATTGATATAATTATTTAAATAATTTTTTTGTGAAATGGAATTAAAAAAAAAATATTGCAGATTGTAAATAGCATTGTTTAATGCTAATTGATAAAGGCAATCTTCTTTTAAACTTTGACATACTAGACAAAACCAACGCTTTATAATTCAAATCTATGACCATGGTTTAAAGATTCTATAGTAGATTCGAGTTCGATATACGTTATTCATCATCACATATTACGCTAAGCATTGTCGTTCTATTTTCAATTTAAGAGATTGAATGATCACTTACACATCTGTAGCACTGATCATGCAGGGTGCATGCTGGTCTGAAAATACTCCTATAGAAAAAAGGCAGGTTTCCAGGAATGGAGCAGCCGTTAACGTTATAGGTACAAGGTAATTGTGCATCAGTGCCAGATGAAAACAGCATCAAAGAGGACAGCCACAGATAGAGGAACAAAGGTGCTAGATCCATCCTCCAGGCATATTTAGCTACATCATGACAACAATCGGGCCACAAAAATAAAAACTAAGAAATTGGAGAATTGAGATACATATGATCATGAGTAATATGACCAATAGTATGAACAATAAAAGTTGTCACTTGTCAAATTCTTGAGGCGCATTGACCCTTCAAATGGAAAATAAAAGTAGTAATGTGTGACAAAATAGGCCAATGAATCAAACAAAAGTGTGTCACCGATAGGCTTCTCTGTTAGCTAGTTATCAGTGAATTATCAGTGTAAAAATTGTTTTGATCTGTAAAGAGCACACAATAAATGCTTCGTATGATTTTGATTCTTTCCTTTTGAAAATAAAATGCCTTATTTTGTCATGTAAAAAACAATACAATGTACAAAAGTTTTTTTGTTTCAAAGTATTTTTAAAAACAAAATATTCTTGCATTCTAATATTCTTAATAAATCCTTGTCTACATAAAATTCTTTTCATGCACATCCCTTACCTTTATAAAATACTTATAACCATAGACCACTGGAAAGATTCCAGAGGTGAAATTAGGTGCATAAAGGGAGAAAGCATCCCCTGTTGAACGGTCACATCCGCCATGGGCCCTAGGTATTGAACAGATAGACGAGACATTTCGCAATCAAATTTAATATATATACAAAGGTCCAGCAATGTGGTATGAAAAAAGTCAGCCAAAACACCCAGTTAATACAACAGATTATATATTCAATATATTCAATGTTACAAGTTCACTGGAATATACCGACTCGACATATGACTTCTATAACAATTATTAATCGATAAAACGTCATCGATATATCTAAATGTCGAATTGTAGGTCTTTGACAGTTTTTTTCCTTATCTCATGTAAAAGCTTTTAAATAAATTCTCTTTATATGAATAATGAATATACGGCTAATAATGGGGCACTATGAGTGTCCAGCAGTTTCTTGGAAGACTTGGTCTCCGAAAACTGTTCAAATGTTGTCATCGAGGAACTTCAGAATTTTTAAAAATATTTTTTTATTAACCAACTTCATATTAGTACATGTACTTGTTTATTGAATTAGAGTGATTTTCAATGAAGTGATTTTATTGATAAAAATCACAAAGTGTGAAAAGTTCCGTTTTTAGTGAAGATTTAGTTTTATAATATCAAAATGCTAGATTTAAAATCAATCGTAATGAATGGTTGTATAAAGTGAAGAAAATGTTTTGATTTAGACTTTAAAAAGTCTTCAAAATCATGTCAGTTTTGGATATTTTTAAAAGTCCCAACAACCAACATTTTGAATTCAATATCTATATTGAATTCCAAAACTTCATAAAAATCCTTACAGACAATGGTACCTAACGGGTTACAATAAATTTTCTATACCAAGCATCTTTCTTTCCTCACTAATTTTTTTCAAAATCGTGAGGAGAAACTTTAGAAATGCTTTGCGACAATAGATTTGAGAAGATGTGCGAATCAGGTGTAGATACTTAGAAATTTCAAGGAGCTTTTGAAAAATTTGAAATCACAAAATTTTACAAAAATAACTGCATTAAATCTTACGACTTTCAACTTTATATACAATCATTCCCCAAGCTCCATGCTTTTTTATATCATTGAAGCTGCTTTTTCAATAAAAATAGAACTCTTTAATTTATTAACCTTGTCATTGGTCATTTGCAAATATGATTTTGCTTAAAATATTCTAATTTCTTATTAAAAATATGACTGAGTTTCTGATCGACATTTTCTATGTGTGTGTGTTTTTTTAGACAAGTTCTTCCAACAATCTATTGAAATTCTCATGGGTACCAATTACGCCCCGTTATTAACAGACTTATTTTTGTATTCATATGAGGCAGAATTTGTCCAAAATCTTATACGTGAAAAGAAGAAAACTCGACATTTAGATATATCGACGACGTATTGTCAAATAACAATGGTTATTTCCATTCTTAGGTCAATACGATATATCCAGGTGAGCTTGAAATAAAAGATACCACAGAGTCTGATATATCTGTCATATTTGGATATTTTACTGGAAAAAGACATACAACATCATCAAGCTTTTTCATAAACGTGATGACTTTAACTTTTCAATCATCAGCTTCTCGTATGCAGCAATTTACCTTCACCACTTGCATACGGGGTGTACATGTATATATATCTGTCAGTTGATTCGATACGCAAGAATGTATCGTGCAAATTAATGCGGCATATTAATTCACAATATCAACAAGGAAATTAATGCTGGCATCATTTCAGAACTTACGATATCATTAATTATTTGAGGAAATCTTTAATTGGATTGCTGAATTGTTCATATGAAATGATGATATCCTAAAATGATAACTGACAATCTTGTATGTCCATGTTCATTATTTGGATCAATGTGTATGATATGGATTTTAAAACAAAGACTCAAATGCATATTGTAAACTATTTAATATGGAGAACATTTTAATTTGCTGCCTAATTAAATCATTCGACTCAGGACTGGTTTATTTACTTCAAACAGTGTCGTACCAATCTACAGTGCTGCCACGGTAATCTTTTCTTATATCCCTTCTGCCCTGCGACTCGAACGGCCGTAAAGTAAACAAGTGCGTATCTAAAACAGCGCAGGCGCAGATACCACTTCTGTCGTCTGCATATTCTCCGCATATTTTCATAGAATCTTCTATCACAGGTTCTGCGACTTATGCGATAATAGGTTCCCTAAATGAATATAGTAAAATTAATTGTACTTTTTATAAGGACATGCATGTATGCAAAGTATATGTACATAAATTCTACAATGCAATTTTCTCACTGATAATTTTCTAAGATGTTCACAAATCAAAATCATAATATCATACGGTGATCGTACACAAAAAACCAGCTTCCATTACAAGGAGTTTAATCTAGATATAGAATGATAAAAAAGTCTTGTATTTTTCAAAAGAAGATTTATTATAAATATAGTTTTAGCTGGTTTTTCACATTTTGATTTGGAGGTGAGCATGCTCTACGTATGAACAATTTCTAAAACGAGGTAAATTATTGACAAGCAAGTTGACGAAACAAGAATATCAGCAGTCTCGTTTAAAGTCATCATTTCGGAAGTTCTATGGTCGATACAATGACCTTGTCAGCAAATACAGTTTATCATTGAGTCAAATGCTGACTGACGTTTTTCATACCAATTGTTAGTTCATTATTTATACACTGAATTGACGACGGATTTTTTCCCGTTATTTCCTGATCATGACAAGGAACACACGGCGGGTGTGACCGGTCGGCAGGGGAAGCTCACTCCTCCATGGCATCTGATCCCACCTCTGATGTTTCGGGGGTCCGTGTTTGCTCTGCTCTAATTTTGTATTGTTTTATGGACTTCGAGATTGAATACTGTTCGTTATCTCCATATCCTTATAGTATCGCCAGGCAAAATAAATTAAATCACAAGAAGGTGCTTAGATAATTAGAACTTTAAAATTATACAAGGAATAAGAAATTTAAGTTCAAAACTACGTTGCGTTTGTCCTAAAACATTTAAAAACATTCCTGTAAAGACGTCATTGTTGTTATCCCCTCGCAACGGAATTGGAGGGGATATAGTAACACAATCGTTTGTGTTCGTTTTTGGTTAGCGAATAATGTACGAAACGGATGTGAAGTAATCTGCATTTTCCATTCTCCTATTATTATTTTGACCCTCGAACGTTTCGAGCATGAATCCCATTATTTTTGTAAATTTATCGTACTATGACGAAAAGACCAGTATATTCAACTGTTACTCCTCCGGTTTCTCCCTCCAACCATCATGTCCCGAAAAATCCGTAGAGAAAAGAATAATGTGTTGTGAATTTTTACGAAAAGCAAACAAAATCTAAAATAACACCCCTTGCCAAAAAAAAAAGAACGCTCTTCCTTCAATCGTCTAATCTGAGTATGGTCATTTTTTAAACCGAGTCAGGCTACTCACACATATGTTGATGTTAGAGGGATTTAAATAACCTTATTGTTTGGAGTTTTTTTTTTAAAGATCGATTTTTACCTTGTTCACTTCAACACACCTTGCACATTTTGAAAGACGCATATATGACATTAAAGCAATATAAGTGATATTTTAGAAAAAACAACAGTATTTATTGTCAGATGCTTCGCATTTACCATGTGAATATTTTAGGTACGTACATCCATCATATTTTTTTAAATTTTAAATACTTTTTTGAAAATTGCTCACAAGCAGAAGAAAGAGGATTCTGTTTATATATTAAACTTATTTAACAAGGTGTATTAAAGCAATCAAAGAAAAAGCATTAAATATAGCTTTAAAGTAATATTTAAATATCATAACCACTTACACATCTGTAGCACTGGTCATGTTTGTTGCATGCTGGTCTGAAGGTGGACTTATAGGGAAAAGGCAGTTAAGGGGGATGTACGGCCACCTTTAGTGCAGTGAGAACAAAATGTAAACATTTCTTTAAATGGCTAAAATACATTATATTTTGATCAAATTTTAAGTGTTTATGATAAAGATACAATAAATATGCATAACTGAATGCATGTTGTGCATATATAATCTATACTTTTGCAGAAAAATGCTTTTGATATGCTTCTTAGAACTGCGCAGCTACAGAATTCAGCAAATCCTTAAAAAATCCAAAAAAATACGCAAACTGTGCATTAATGTTCTCTCTACAACCATTTGTTGAGAAAATGTCTAAATTTTGCACTTTTAAATGATAATTTCAAGTTCAAAACAATGTATCGTTGTCTTCAAAAAGAGTGTAAAGAACCATGAAAGTAGTTCATGGATAGCAGCACGTGGTCTATTTTTAGAACAGAATTTTGTTTTCCAGACCTCTTCTTAATATGGAGGGACATAACAATCTTTAAATGTAGAAGAGAATTACAGTTGCAAAATATTTCAAATAATATGAACACTTTTAAAAGAGGAAATGTGCTATAGTGTTTATTGAAGTAATTTATTGAGTATTATTATCGAACAGCTGTTAAATAGTGTACATATTGATATTAAAAAAATCTTAAACTCGTTGATTCAAGTAAAGGAAAAATGAGCACCAACAAAGTTAAAAATTAAGAGTTTGTAAGTTTGCCACAGATAACTTATAATATCTATCAAAAGTTAAATTATCACCATTGAAAAACAAAGGATTTAAACACATAAAATCGATATGAATGACCTTGTTTTAGTACCTATGAGGGGTGATCAAAAAGTTCGCGAACTATCTCTATACATGTGTATCTACAAAACCA